TCCGTTCTGTTGAGGGGTTCTTGGGGCTGAAAAGTTATGATCCATGCCATTTTCTTTGCAAAAGTCATCGAATCTTGAATTCTCAAACTCAGTTCCATGATCTGATCGAATGTGGATAATTTGATTTCCACTTGACTTTTGTACTCTTTTGGCAAAGGACACAAATTCATCAAAAGTTTCATCCTTGCTAGACAGAAAAATCACCCAAGTAAATCTAGAAAAATCATCAATAATAACTTAAACATATTTCTTTCCACTTCTACTTTGAACACGCATGGGACCACACAAATCCATATGAATTAGCTCCAATGGCTTTGTAGTGCTGACCATGTTTTTGCTTTTAAAAGAAGACCTGACTTGCTTGCCTCTCACACATGCATCACAGATATGTTGCATGAGGAACTTGACTGAGGGAAGCCCTATAACCAAGTTCCTTGTTCTAAGTTTATCCATGAGTGACAAGCTAGCATGTCCAAAACGTTTATGCCATAATAAGGGATCATCATTAATGGCACTCAAGCAGGTAAGGTTGTTCCTTGGACTAGAATTTAGATCTACAATGTATGTGTTCCCTTTTCTAGTTCCTTCAAGAACAACCCTTCCTGTTTTATCATTAATGATGTTGCATGAATTAGAGGTAAAACTTACAGAGTTTCCTTTATCACAAAATTGTGATATGCTCAGCAAATTTGCATCAAACCCTCGACCAAAAGTACATTTTCTATTGAATGAGAACTGGACCTTCCTACTTTTCCTTTAGCAATTACTTCACCCTTTTTGTTGTCTCCAAAGGTCACAGTTCCTCCTGGATAGGCCTCTAGTGAGAGAAACATTGATTTATCTCCTGTCATATGCTTTGAACAACCACTGTCGAGGTACCACGTGTTGTTCCCCCTCACTAGGACCTGCAAAAGAACTTATTGGTTAGATTCAGGAACCCAGGTTTCCTTGGGTTCCTTGGACGTTGAAGCAATATCAAATTTCTTTACCCAAACTTGCCTAACATTCTTACTAACAGACTGTTCCTTCTTGTAATACGTGGCAACAAGATGACCAGTTTTACCACATAAGGTACATACTTTATAACTAGGCAGGTCTACATATTTTTTCTTGCCCTAATGCTTAGAACGTATGAATCCTAGACCTTCAGTTCTTTTGGTTTGAGCATTCTCTATCCACTTAGGAATTCCAAACTGGCTAATACTTATTTCTTTTCGAAGCTCAAGTTCCTTCTCTAATTTTGCCTTTTCAATTCTTAACTCGTCAAGATCATATTTTAATTTTTCAAAATCTTCATTAAATTTAGGCAAAGATTCAGAGGAGGAACTTGGAGACACTTCAGTATTAGCAAGTTTGTATTGAGTCAATTCTACATTAACCATGATATTCTCAAACTTGAGTTTCTCATTCATTTCTTTTAATAGAAGATTTTTGTCAAAAAGTTCAAAAAATCTACTTTGATCATCAGTTCGTTGATTCTCAATCCACGTACTGTGTTCCTTGCTGACTTTGAGAGCTCTTTGACATTCACCTAGACGAATACTAGTGTGAGTCCAATCATCTTCTAATTCAAACACTAAATCAATGAGAGCATCTTTAGTATAAGTTGTAAGCACATTAGGATCAAGAAATACCTCTTTCGCAAGCTCATCGTTGTAAGCCTTTTCATCACGTTTGGCCATTAGACATAGATGAGTTGTTTCTTCTTCAGGTTGTTTCTCTTTATCCTCACTTTCTGAATCTCCCCAGGCAGCAATCATAGCCTTCCTAATGTCTGTTTTATTGAAAGGAGTTTTGTTGTAGTTGCTCTTAACTTGTTCCTTTGCCTTCCCTTTACCTTTCTCTGTATCCCAAAGTGGACACTCACGAATAAAGTGTTCTAGAGATCCACATTTGTGACAACCAGAGTCAGTTTTTGAAGTAGAGGGTTTCTTGGTGAAGTTCCTTTGTTTCTTGTAAGGTAGTCACCTTGGCTCTCCATCTCTCATCTTGGGGGAGGCTTCTTAGAACTTTTCTGACCTGCTCATTAATAGGGATTTGCTTTTCAAGAGAAACAAGCTCATTAGTAATGTTAGTAAATCTAGTTAACATTTCCTGAATTGATTCTTTTAGTTGCATTTCAAACCGTTCATATTTTGACATAAGCAAGTCAATCTTAGAGCGTTTCACTTCGTTAGTGAGTGACTTGAAGTAAATCCCAAATTTCTTTAGCATTTTTACAACTCATAACACGGTTGTGTTCATTTGGTCCAAGTCCACAATCAAGTAATTTAACAGCAAGTGCATTAATTTCCATTTTCTCAAAATCTTCCTTATCAAATTCAGACATGGGTTTAGGTACTACCTCATTTTCACTAGTGGTTTTTGTAATTTCAAAATCACCAACTTCGATCACTCTCCAAACCTGGTAGTTGTCGGCTTTGATAAAAATCTTCATCCTGTTCTTCTAATAGGTGTAGAATTTTCCATTGAACATAGGAGGACGCTGCGTAGAGTAACCTTCTTCCAGTTTCTCGTGATTGTTCATCTTGATTCCAGGAACTTAACTCGTCAGGATTTCCTGATTTCTTCGAGGAACCAGCTCTAATACCAATTGTTGACTCGAATGAACAATACAAGAGAGGGGGTGAATTGTATTGTAGAGGAACTAGGGTAATTTTTGCGGAATTCTTAAAGAAACGTAAACAAAACTTTAAAGTGCAAGAGAGATTTTACGTGGAAAACTTCTTGTCCCTAATCAAGAAGAAAAACCACATCCACAAGGGATTTTAATCACAACTCTTAATAATAATAGGGAAAACAACCTATTACAAATTAAGACTTTTAAACTCAAGTTCCTCTACGAACTTAAGTTCCCCCTCAACTGATCCCTCAATCAGTTGAGCTCTCGAATCTCTCTCTTTCTCCTTGCTTCACTCAAAGCAATTTCACACTCTAGAGTTTACCCAAACTCTACCCCAATACAACACAATATAAAACTACTAAGATGCTAAGTACAAAGACACACTCAAGGACTTAAGTGGATTTTTCACTCTTTTAGAAAAGCTAAGAATTGTAATGCTCAAGTGTGCTTTTCAAATCAGAAAACTAATCCTATTTATACAGGAGGAAAGCAGTTGAAAACCTTACGTTTTCCTTAGCTCCACTATACCACAACTTCATGAAATAAGGAAGTGCAGTTCGTGGATGCTTGGGCAGCAAGCTGAAGCGCACAACAAGGAAGTGGTTCCTATATTTTATCAACCTCCTTTACCAAGTAAAAGCCGTTTGAAAAATAGTTTTACCAAGTCAGATTTTCAAAATGTTAGGATAAAAACAGAACACAAAATCTTTTAATAAATAAGATATTTTACTTAAAAGATATTTTTCCGAAATAAAATTAAATCTTTGTTAAAGAAAGGAAAAAAAAATCTTTATAAACTGAAATTAAATCCACTTAAATCCTATCAATTAACAATGTACTTAACATATATACAAGAATCCTAAAATAAATAATAAAGATACAATAGACTCCTTGGAACACGGTGAAGCTTCGACTCTGGAGCTTCAGTTCCTCACTCAAGGAACTTGGCTTCTGATTGTCTTCTATGCTCATCCATAGCTCGTCCTTTAGACTTGTTCCATGCTCCATTCTAACTCTAGAACTTCGTTGCATATAAAACCTGTCAATACATCAAAGCTAATAGACAAAAGTTAAAGCCCCTATGGGTTTTCTTAGGTTCCTTGAGTCATCATCAAAACCTAAGATCAACAGCAACAATAGAAATGTTCTCTTCAACTCTTTGAAGATTTTTGCTAGAATTAAATTCAAGTGGGACGTTAGGAGTCTTGCTAGTCGAATTAGCTTGCCCCGACGCATGATTATACGCCCTTGCCTCTGACGTGGTGTCATCCACATCCATTAGTTGCTCGTCCCAAATTTCTTAGAGAACTACTTTACTCCCACTTGGCTTTCTAGAGAGGAATTCCTTTTCTAGAAAGACACTATCGCGAGCAACAAACACTCTGTTATCTTCATGATTGTAGAAGTAATACCCTCTTGTCTCTTTGGGGTAACTCACAAAGAAACATTTGTTTGACTTAGGGTGTAGTTTGTTGCCTTATAAATGTTTTACATATGCTTCACATCCCCAAATCTTGAGACAAGACAACTTTGGAGCTCTTCCATTCCATATCTCATATAATGTCTTTTTAACTGCTTTGGACGGGTTCTTGTTCAGTACTTTAGCAGCTGCTTCTAATGCATATCCCTAGAATGATATGTGAAGATCAGTAAAGCTCATCATGGACCGAACCATATTCAGTAAGGTCCTATTCCTTCTTTTTGACACACCATTTAACTACGGCGTCCCTAGAGAGGTCAATTGTGAAAGTATTCCACAATTAATCAGATGTTCACCAAATTCTTGGGTTAAATATTCACCACCACGAGCAGATCGTAATGCTTTTATTGTTCTCTCAAGTTGGTTTTGTACTTCATTCTTGAATTCTTTGAACTTTTCAAAGGCTTCCAACTTTTGCTTCATTATGTAAATGTAACCAAATGTACTTAAATCATCAATGAATGTAATGAAGTAAATAAATCCACCCTACCTTTTAAACTCATTGGTCCACACACATCTGTATGTACGAGTCCCAAAAGGTCACTAGCTCTTTCACCTATACCCGTAAAGGGTGACTTAGTCATTTTACCAAGCAAGCATGACTCACAATTTTCAAATGATTCATAATCAAATGTTGAAAGGAGTCCTTCCTTATATAATTTCTGGATGCGCTTTTGGTTAATATGTCCAAGCCTACAATGCCATAGGTATGTTGGTTTGATCCATCTGTTCTTTGCTTTTTATGATTTATGTTGTAGACATAAGTTGTATAATTTAAGACATACAAGCCATTAAACAATTTCACTTTAGCATATAACATATTATCTTTGGAAAAAACAACACTTGTCTCTTATTTCAAAAGAAAAACATTCATTACCTAAAATTGGAATTGAAATAATGTTTTTGGTAATTGTTGGAACATAATAACATTTATTAAGCACCAAAACAAGACTAGAAGTCTTAAATGATAATCTCCAATAGCAAGTGCCAACTTTTGCTCCATTTCCTACTTGAAGTGTGACTTCCCCTTTTGCTAACTTTCTACTCCCGCCTAGGCCCTGCATGTTATTAACAATGTGAGGACCACAACCGGTATCGAATACCCAATTTAAAGAAGAAGTAAGATTAATTTTTACAACAAAAACATTAGGCAACTCTTTACCTTTCGTTTTCACTGGTGTGTATAATGGGGACACCCAAGCGTGTGGCAAGACCACCTACCACAATAGAAGCACTGGCTTCCCTCCTTCTTCAAGTACTCCTCTGAAAGGTTGACCAAGAGGTTGACTAATGTCACTATCGAGCCTTAATCATCATGAATAAGCCGACTAGAAAAAATCCATCATGGAGCGAGAACATAATAGTATCATGTGCAGAGTCATCATCGATCGGTCTCCCTAGGATATCCATCTGATTGAATAATCCAATCAGTTCATTGACATGGGTCCTAACTGATTGACCACACATGAGTTTCTTAGCCATAATCTTACAATGAATTTTGTAAGTCTCAAACCTTGCACTCTCAGTCTAGGAGTAGTCAATATAAGGGATCTAATTAACGACCTCTCTTACATTGTGGTTATTGATGCCTCCACTTCCTAATGCCCTAATGTCACCTCAATAGATGGCACGAAGACATTCATGCAAATTAGTCAACTCATAGTCCCTGAACCTTGTTTTCCAACAAGTTGGAATAGATTCTAAAATGAGATTCCTTATTTTCTCTGCATTCGAAACATCTTTTGCATGCCTTTCAGGAGTAAAACCAATAGTATATCTGCTCTCAATGGGTATATATAAACGAGCTTCAACCCTTTGACTTTTAAGAACATTTCTCTACTCGTTTTCCCATTCCCTGAAATTTATGAGATTCAGCCTTAATTTCAATTTGTTTGGCAAAATAGTGTTGTCTGTAAAGGTTATTCATCTACAAACAAAAACAAAACGAGGCAAAGTTCAATAATTATGTTTAATAAATTTAAAGTACCATATGGTATATAGGATTGGTAACTTTAAAGCATTTATTCAATATTAATTGATCCCTGTTGAATTAAATGATTCCAAGACCCTTTATTTGTGTAATAGTTGACCGGACTGAGGCCTTACTATCAAGCATCACATTTTCAAGGTGAGTAAACTCTTTACTGATTACAACTCTTGTAATTTTTGGTTGAATAATTACCTATCACATGTTTACTTATTATCCTTAGCTTCAAGGTTCTAAACCCTTTAGGTAACCTTGTTGAGTATAACCAATTAAATGTGTAGAACGTGATCTACCCTACAATACCTAAGATAACGAGTCACACTCTGCGGAGGCCGACCTATCACTCACTATCACTACTACAAAAAATGGCAAAGAGACCCGTTAAAATATGCTTGAGAGACCACCTTATAATGGGTCTCTATCACAAGGGTCTATTTGATAAAGAGACCCATTCCTTAGAGGGTTCTGTTTGTGAGGACAAAGAGCCCGTTGTTAGTGATAGCAGGTCTGTTACATAAGTTTGAAAATTGATAATTTAGACGGAAAAAAACTTGTTGATTGAGATAAGGGGTATGTTTGGTGGTCAAATAGATCTGTCATGTCAATTAACGGGTTTCTTTGTTCTTTGTTTTTATATAAAAAAAACAATATAAATTTTGCATTTGAATTTTGAATATTTCATTTTTATGCTCTATACAAATTGGCGGAAAATTAAAAAGATTGTAAGTTACAATACTTTGCCTAAAAATACTTTTAGACCATATGAAATAGCCTGGGGTAAAAAAAAATTTGATAAGATACAAAAAAAAAAAAACCAACATAAAATTCAAGAAAAATTAACACACAAATATTTAAAGTCACTAAAATTTACAACTATAATTACGCTCGAGTACTACTCCATCTTACGCAATTTCGACAAGATCTACTACTCTTGGTCTCTTTGAATTTCTGGGGTTAGGAATTTTGACAAGATCAGACAATGATGTAAAAAGAAAAATAAAGCATATAAATTAAAAACTAAATTGAATTGAGAAATAATTACATTATCAAACAATCATATTAGAAAAATAAGAATTCATCAAATGAACACTTACCAAATCAATTACAACACTATGTTAAAATTGGGTATTCCGAAATTCCCACTAAACATTGTCAATTTAGCCAATTTCAATATTTTCTTAATAAATTATACAAAACCCATCAAATCTTAATTAAACCAAAATCCAATCAACCTAAAAACAAACAACAAAATTCGAACCACGAAACAAACCGAAAATAAAACAAATACCAAATCACAAAATAAGCTAAGAATCAAACGAAAACAACTCACACAACAAACCAAAAACGTCTACCCACCACCATCGCTAACTTAAAACAACCCAGGAAAAAAAAAAGAAATTCGAACTAACTCAGTGAAATTTGCAAAAACTGTACCTTAAATGCTTAAATCTAGATCTTATTACACTGAAGCACTTTGCATCTATCATCGGAGGCTAAGTAAAGAGGGATCTTGGAGGTGGAGACTTCTCAAAATACAAGGAGCATTCATATGCTCGAATAAGGCGTTGATGAAGGTGGAAAAAAAAGAAGCAGAAGAAGCCATTGATGAGAGGGAATAAATTGGAGGTGAAAGAGAAATGAGTTTGTGAGGAAAAAAAATAGCAAAGGAATATAATGTCGGTGACGAGATGCAGAGGAGAGAGATTGAGCAAAAGGATGGCACAATTAACACGCATAAATAATGAGAAGTGAAAAAGAAGGTAAGAGACCCGTTGCTCTTACAATGGGTTTCTTATCTCACTCTTCTTAATAAAGTTTTGGGCCCAAGGGCTTATAAGAGACCCGTTGCTCTTACAATGGGTTTCTTATCTCACTCCTCTTAATAAAGTTGTGGGCCCAAGGGATTATAAGAGACCCGTTATCTCTATTAAAGGATCTCTTACATCAAACATACCCGTTGATTAAGATAACGGATCTCTTATTAGGGGCCCTTTTCCAGTTTTTGTAGTAGTGTATCTAAGGATTGTTGGGTATTCAATTGGAAAAGCAACCTCAATATTAATGGGACCTAGATTTGTTATGTTGTGATTATTTAGTGAACTCTAGCGCATCATCAGTCAACATAAAATAAATCTAACATGCATAACCTACTAATGCATAAATAAAACATGACAAAGTATGTCCCCTTAATCCTAAGAAAACTAATAAAGAAAAAAAAAACTCCCACTTGAATGTTCATGGATCTCATCCTCTTATTCTTTTGGGTCTCCACTCCATTGGCTTCTTGGATCAACTGCAACCTGTAATATTATTTTATTCTATCTACTACTTAAAAAAAGTAAAATAAATTATAAAAATACTTAATGGTACGCAATCCGTATTTAGATTACAAAGATACGAAACGATGCGCAGATCATATTTAGAATCTATGGGCCATACTAGTCTTTATATAGCAATAAATAATATCATATATTATAAAGTGCCACATAATAAATCACTCATCATGCTTTCCTATAAAACACCACATGTTCAAAATTAAGAAACATGGCTCTAAATATCTCATATTTTAATTAAATAATTGCAATAAGATAATATCACATATTATTTCTAACCAACCATAAAATATCATATATATTTTATTTTAGGCAAGGGATAGAATCAAATCACATTTTTATTATGGAAGATAAATCATATTTATTTTCCATGATTATCCTAACTAATTTACGAGATTCTATCCTAATTGTCTAGCCAATCACATAATTTTAAATCAATTATTATCCAAATTAATTATGGGATAATATCATTATTCAATCAATCACTATCCAAATAGAATCTTTTGCTCCATAATTATCCAAACTTAACAAAATTAACCACTTTAACGTAGTTAATTATCTTTTCAAAAAACAAAACTCATCTTTTAAATTTTAATTTTTAAATCTGATTTTTATTAAAATAATTTTTTTTTGAAATTCGTGCACCAGCCACCGTGGTGTGGCCAGCCAAAGCCGGCCACTGTGGCCGTACACCGTGAGGTTTACGCTGGTTGTAGCGATGCACATCAGCAGCATCAGTGCCGGGCAACCCTTGCACGGTGCTGTTGTTGCTTCCCTTGGTTGACTCGACCTGTTGCCCCACCCTGCCCCTCCCTCTGGACCACCTACAGCGGCAGCCACCATTGCTGCGCCACCTAGCCGCGATTGCCACGCATAAACCCCCTTTTTTATTTTAATTTAAATAAAACAAAACAATTTTTATTAAAATTAAATTAACTTAATATGGTCCGATTAATTTCAAAATTAAATCTTATTAATCTAGATATTAGAGTTCTTCATGAAATTAATCCCCAATTTAATTTAACTCTTAGATTAAATAATTTGATCATGAAAATATATAATTTAGCATGAAATCAAATAGATTAAATTCATTAAACACATAACAACTAAATGAAATAAAAAACAAAACAAAAATTTCACAAATTAGGGTTTATGCTTTCGAAATTTTTGAAAATTAGGGTTGGGGGATCGAAATTTTCGAGTGAATCAAGGCCAAATTTTGATCTTTTGATGGGTAATTTGGAGCAAATAAAATAACTTTTAATGATTCTATATTGTTAAATCACATTTAAAATAGTAATTGACCCATAATTAAATCATTCTCCCTCCTAATTGAATTAAAATTGTGGATTATCAAAGAATTAATTAATATTCAATATATGTACATGCATAGGCTTACTGATAACCACTGTAGGAGTTTATAAATACAATTGCGGAAAACATAAATCATATTCATATAGCACCTAGTCCCAAGATCATGCATAACACATACAGAATTAGAATTAATACCTTTGTAGCGTGATTCCACGTGTGATCGTACAAGAACAAGGGAGACAAAGAACCTCAAATGTGATTCCTCTACTTGGTCCACGGGAACGGATTAAGACCTCCACTAATGCTAGTTAGTTGCAATTGATCCCTTCAATTGACCTTATATGGAGAAGAACGAGCAACGAACTAACCACGAACCACCACACGCGCCACTAGGGGTGGCCGGCCGTGAGTCCAAGGGGGAGGAGAGTGAGAGTCGTGGGTTAGAGAGAGAGTTAGAGGGTTTTGGGATTTTGTTGCCTTGATTCATAATCTAGTGTAAGTTGATTATGACTTAATTAATCAACCTTAGGCATGAATCTTATTTATAGATCTCATCTCTAAATAAGAGTCCATGACAAAGCCCAAAACCTAACTCGAATCTAACTATACTAGCCCAACTCAATTCATGATTACTTGCTTGCTTATGAGGCCCATAAATGGGCCTCTAACTTTCTTAACCCAATACCCTTGTGTGTGACCTCATAGGATCCATTCTAGCGGGCTTTGGACTATTTCACTAGCCCAAAGATAACTGATCATAATTTAGCAATAGATAACGACGAGCCAAAAGAAAGAACTAATTATCTCCATAATAGTGATCCTTGATATATCTAGTAGTTGCACTTATTGAACACATAACTCCTTCAGTTACGACCTATTATACTCAGCCCTTTACTCACAAGTTCCACACTGAACTTGCTACATAGTAGGACCCTATCCTACCCAATCTAAGTCCCACACTTTGATTCACTCATATTCTCTATGTACTACCTCTTAGCTTCACACTAGAAGCTTACACAACTGTATGCAAAGAATGTTTTACACACTCACCCAAGAACCCAACCAAGACTCCTAGTATATGAAAGGTAAGCCAAACATGAAAGCCGAAACTAATATGACAAAGATTATAAGCTTGACAAACTTACACAATTAAGCACAATTCGATTCCTTCATGCATAGACTCACAGAAAACTAAGAAATGAGTTTTCAATCTACTATTTATACAAGACTAGCTCGTATAGCAAGTAGGGTTTTCAAAAAGATAAACATGGTAAATTAACAAAATCTCAAAACTTGATTTTAAGTAAATCTATTATAAAGAAAATCTTTTTGGAAAACTTATTAAAGATAGATAATCATAAGATCTTTTGATAATCAGTTTTTAAGAAGCAAATCTTTTTAGAAAATCTTTTTCTTAAAAACTTATCTTTTTCTAAACTTTCCTATTTAATTAAATTTTCCAAGCTCTTTGACACGCTTCTAATAATTTGGGGAATGAGAGCTATAATAATCTAACTGGGGGGAACTATCAAATGCGATGAGTCACACCTCGATTCATCAATTTCGATCAATGAAACATAAACCCAATTACAATAAAAACACAACCATCATCTCATCCACCTACATTCTCGACTCTTCAACCTTCTTTTACTTATTCGCTTCATTTCTTCATTTTTTTTTTATTTTTTTTATTTTTTTTATTTCAATCCAACAAATTTTTCATTTGAAACATTTTCCAAATATTTTTCTTTCTTTTCTTTATTTCTCTCTTTCTTTTTCAAGAAATGTTACCTTTTTTTTTCAAGTAATTCAATCAAACCTCCTATTCTCACTTTTTCTCTTCTTCTTCCTTTTCTTTTCAATATTTTCGCATCAATTGCAACTTGAAACAGAATCACGCAAAAATACCGCATAAAATAGCTCCCCCAAGCTAGACTTGGGAAAAGTAATCAAATTGGGGCCAAGGGGTAATTTTTGTGGAGTTTATGAAAAATATAGTCAAGCTACAACATGGGTAAGCAAGAAGGGAACTGATGTTCTAATTTTGTCTGGAGGCTACCTAATGAACGTGGCCTTCATCATTTCAATGTGCACGTGAAATGCATTACGACACACTACTAAGAGTCTAAAGTCAAAACTAAGATCAATGCTACACCAGGAACTAAACACACACAAGAATGAATATATAAGGCTCAAGCCTCACGGTTAACACAGTCAAGCTCCTGAATCATACACAATTAAATAGCCTTGACTCCTACTAGGGATCAACAAATTCAAGGTCAAATCATGATCTTTTAGTCCACTATGCAAGTCTTTCAATCGAAAATAAATCAAAACCTTTTGGCATAAAGGATAGGGGCACAGGGAAGCAGTTCAATGGCCGTTGGCCGTTCATTATCATGATTCTTTTATTTTTCATTTCTTTTTCCAGAAGAAAGCATTAAACCTTACTGCTAGTGAAAACACACTAAAGTAGAAAGAGAGAGTGAAAGATGTACCTTGTGTACACAAGAACTTCCCCCCAAGCTAAATCAGACAATGTCCTCATTGTCTTAAAGGGAAACTTGTAGTCAAACCTCATCTTCATCATCACCCAAAATAATGTCACCAAAGCCTCGAGGATTGCAATGCATCTCTTTGGAACAAAATTGAGCAAAAACGAAACAAAGTGTTAGTGGGAAAAAGAATAAAATTGAGTCATGTGCACTGTTTTAATCATAACTTTTTATGTATAAAAGATAATGCAGTGATTCTAATTGAATTGGAAAGTAGACTAAAAGATCTTTCCAACGATAGGTCACACGCAAAAATCTGATAATTAACCAGAAAGTTATGGCCTGTCGAAATTGAGCAGTTTTGCTGATCCATACGCGCGCCCGATCGGGCGAGCTCTTCCTGATCGAACTCGAACGCAGTCCAGCAAATTCTTCTCCTTTTAAATCAGCCTTTTAGATCAAAATCTGCACCAAGAGAACTCCCACAAGCATAAGATGTACTCTCCTTACCTCTCTAAGAACCAAAGAAAAATGAAAACACACAAAAATTAGAAAAGACTAAAATAAAAATAATGAAATACGGGTTGCCTCCCGCAAAGCGCTTGTTTTTCAAGGTCTTTAGCTTGACCATATTGATACTCATTGGCTCAACCGGGATCACCACACGGAAGAGGAACTCCGCAATGTCGCCCATGGGAATGATTGCCTCCAAGTAACTCCTTCATTTTATAATTATCCTGCCTCGTATCCGAACTTACCTTCATGCGGCCAAACACATCATTGGGTGGAATTTTGTCCTTGCTTCTCACAAAATTTCTATCAAATACATACTTATCAACAAAAGGGTTAGTAGCATCGATTCTTAAGCAAGTACCACCATCAAATTTAGAGTTATGTTCATCAAAGAGCTTGAATATGACTTGTTTATCCTGGGCCCTAATGGTCACTTATCCTTTAGGAACATCTATTAGAGCTTGACTAGTGGCAAGGAATGGTCGACCAAATATAATCGGGATCTTATGGTCTACTTTCATGTCCATAACAACAAAATCAATAGGAAAAATAAGTTCACCAACCTTAATTAATACATCTTCAACCACACCCTTAGGGAGTCTAGAGGTTCTATCAGCCATTTGAAGAGAAATAGGGGAAGGTTTAAGTCCTTGCAAACCTAAATTCTCATATAATGAATAAGGCATTAAGTTAACACTAGCACCTAAGTCGCACAAAACCTTATCGAAAAATTTCTCGTTTATCGTGCAGAGAATAGTGAAACTACCAGGATCATGCAGCTTAGGTGGTAGGTTATCATATAAGAGAGTAGGGCCCTTTTTATGTGCTACTTCCTTATCCTCATGTTGATCTTTAATATTCTTTACAAAATTTGCAAATTGAGGCATTTGAACTAAAAGATCAGAATAGGGAGTAGAAGCGTGTACCTTCTTGAGGGCTTCACAATATTTTCCAAAATGTCTATCGAGCACAGCTTTTGACAACCGTTGCGGGAAAGGCATCGGTTCCTCATAAGCCAGTGGAGCCACATATTTGGAGCTTTGAACATCTTTGCCCTTTTTGTCTTTCCTAGACTCCTCACTGCACACCTTCTCAACAATTTGCCTCGGAAAGGCTTCATCTCTTCTCAAGAAAACAGCATTGCATTGTTCTTTTTGAACCTTTGCTTGATCTTGAAGAGTTGATAGGCGACTCACCTGTTGTGAAAGTTGGCTTATTTGGCTTTCCATGAGCTTACTATGGGCTTGCAACTGTTGGATGGAGCTACCTTGTTGTTGGATGGCACTATTGGTTGTGGTAATGAAGCTCTCCGTCATCAAATCAAGGCTAGATTTTTGGGAAAGTAGTTGCGTTGGTTGTTGGTTCATAGGTGTTCTTTGTTGGAAACTAGGTTGTGAGTTGTAGTTGTTGGATAGGGATGGTTGTGATGGTGGATTCTGTTGTCCTTGGGTGTTCTTATAAGAGAAGTTGGGATGTTGTTTCCAACCTTCGTTGTAAGAATTGAAGTAGGGATCAAAAGGTTGTTTGGGGTTCGAAGAGTAGAAAGCATTGGCTTGTTCAATAGACATCTCACTCATATTCTGCGGGCAATCCGGTGCGATGTGGCCCTGCACATTGCACATTTGACAAACCTCCAGTGGGCTAGTAGAAGTTCCAGATTGGAACTTATCAAACCTGCTTGTTAGTGCCTGCACAGAACTAGCTAACATAGTCAAAGCATCTACATCAAGCTTACCTCCTTTTTTCACATTCTGACGACCTCCTGGATGATAATTATCATTGGCCGCCATCTTCTCAATCAGCTCCTTTGCCTCAGTTGGGTTCTTTGTCAAGAGAGAACCCCCTGATGCAGCATCAATGTAGATTCAGAACTCATGGGTTAGGCCATTATAGAAGGTTTGAATCAACAGCCACTCTGGGATACCGTGATGAGGGCATTGTCTCTGTAACCTCTTGAACCTTCTCCAAGCCTCATAGAGAGACTCTTCATCTGACTGTCGGAAGGTGGATAACTCGTTCCTCAACCTGGCAGTCTTCTCATGTCCCAAAAACTTCACTAAGAAGGCCTTCACTAGCTTGTCCCATGTATCGAACGAGCCAGTGCCTTCATCTCTCAACCACTCTTTCGCCCTATCCCGTAGTGAAAAAGGGAAAAGGCGAAGTCTGATAGCATCATCTGTAACACCATTCATTTTCATAGTATCACATTTCTCCAAGAAACTATCAATATGAATTACTGGGCAATCATGTGGTAGCCCTGCGAATGAATCATTAGAGATGAATTGGATGAATTGCGGCTTGAGCTCGAAGTGCTGAGCTGTTACAGGTGGTCTTATGATGCTAGAAAGGACTCCGGTAGTCGTATCAGGAATACCGTACTCCAAAAGGGATTTCGTTGGTTGGTCTACCATGTTTCTCCTACGTCGATTTCTTGTTCTCCTTCTTCTTATAGTTGCCTCGATCTCAGAATCAAATGGTTCAAGATCTTCTGAACCTGAGCGTCGTGTGGGCATGCACAAGAAAAACTAGAGAAAAAGTATCAAAAACACAAGAGAGAATAGCCGAAGCAACGAAATAAGCTTAGCAAAAACGAATCACAAATAATTAGATGAAAACCGTTAGTCCCCGGTAACGGCGCCAAAATTTGATAGGCGGTCGCACACCTAGCAAAAATAACCTAACTAACCACTACTATGTAGACTGGCAAGTAAGGGTCGAATCTCAAGAGACTATGGTTCACCAATAACTATTAGACTCAAGTAATTACTAAGCAGAATTCAACAATGATCGATTAACTAAAGAACTAATGTATGGAAAATTCGAAAATAAACTAAAGAATATGAAGAAATCAAATAATTAAAACATCCAAGATCAAGTATCACCACAATTACGAATGATGCAATTATATTTCTACCCCTAACATACAATTCCAATTGAATGGGGAAAAGTAAACCCTAATCAATACCAAGGACCTCTCTCGAGTATCAATGGCTTCTCTGACATACAATCAAGCCTATTCTCATGGTATCATGCATATTAGAGACATTAAACACATTACTCTCACTTCCCAATCATCAACCCAACTATTCTCATGTTGAAAATCAAACCCTAAATTGATCTACTCAAATCCGTTTAAATCCAACTCTCGTTGTGATCGAAACAATGGAATAATCACAATACTAAGATTACGTCTAACCTAGTATTGGCATAATCACAATCAAATTAGCATAGCAATTGTAAAAGTCATTAGAGAATTTAAAGTTTTAATTCATGCATCAATCATAATTGGGCTACCCAAGATCTTGGAATAGAAAATCTACTTACACATATTGAAAGAAACAATAACAATCATAAATATGGAAAACATAATTGAAAAGCAATTATAATTGAAAGAGAATGAAGTAGAAGTGAATACCAAGGATTCTTCAATTGAAAGGAATTAAATTGTTGAAGAACAATGCTCAAATCTTGTGCAAGGAATTATAATTGCTTCAAAATGATAAACTAGAATTCTAGAGAGAGAAAAAGGAATAATGGAAAACTGAAAACTGTCTCTAATGAAAGTTACAAAGGGTATTTATACCCCTTAAGACCTAAAAAATGAAAAAAAATTAAATCGGAGCTGCGCCATAATTGTGCCCGGTCTGCCCGGGCTGTGCCTGCCCGATCGGGCACTTAGGATTAAAGTTGCTAAAATTGCTTCCGCTGGAGTTCTTCTTCGCCCGGTCCAACCGGGCAGGTTGAGCCCGATCGGGCGCGAGACCAAAATCATCCTGTTGCCTTCTCTTGAGCTTCGTAGCAATGTCAAGCTTCTTCTACCACGCGCCCGGACTGACCGGACATGGGTTGCCCGATCGGGCGCATGGCACTGCCATTAGCCTGACTTCCTCTATTGCGCCCGATCTGACCGGGCATTCCTAGCCCGGTCGGGCACAGCTATAAATGCTGCTTTTCTTCCTCTTTTCTCCTTAGTCTTGGTTCGTTGTTTAGCTTGCTTATACGTCCTCGTCCACTAACATCTCCAAATTGCTCTAAACATGTCCGAATTGTCCGGAAAACTCCAAATTCCTGTAAAACTTATAAAAATACACCGAACACACTAGAGAAGAGATTGTTAGCAGGAAATGGCTCGAAAGAGCCTAAAACCATGCAAAAACGTAATGAAAAGTTGGGAAGATATATGTATAAAACGTGTATATCATTATCATATTTACATTAAATCCAAAAGATAAAAAATTAACTAAATAAATTTGTTGCGCCAATATTCTATAAACATAGGATGCTTGGGCTTAACGCAAACCAGGACTAAGTTCCTGTTGTCACTTGTACTCTAGTTTAAAACTGGAACTTTGCAAGCTAAGTTCCTCCAGAACTTGCTGTCTTCAACACAGACCAAGTCAACACCTTAACTTGTTGTCTTCAAGTTCATGTTAGGGAACGTTCCTGTTAGGGAACTTAGATAGTTCTTGTTAGAGAACTAAGTTCCTATTAGGGAACTCTTCTTCTATCTTGTTTAACCTTTCTACATAATTTCTTCATGTCTTCTTAGATTAGGCTACTCTTCCACCTCTAAGGTCAACTTCACCTATTCTAGTTATACACTATAAAAAACCTTTTATTAGTTCGAAGTTTGTTTTAAGTTTAAGTCCATCATCATCAAAACCTATAATCTTCAACAATTTTCCCCTTTTTGATGATGAAAAAGTTAAGCAAACTTCCAAGAAAAGTTAAAACAATAGAAGGGGCGTATTTTTGCAATTTTTAGTTTATTGGCATAAAGTAAACATACAACTAAATTAAAGATAGAAATAACAAAAGCAAAAACAAAGATAAAAATAAGACATAAAAACAATCTAAACTACTAGCATCGATATCAGAAGAAATTTTTGATACTTTCTCAACTGGAACCTAGAATAACTTCACCTCCAAGTTTGCCTTTTCTTTTTCCCCTTTTGGCATTATCAAAAAGTCTTGTCTTCATAGTTGATAATCTAGAACAACTTCACCTAAAAATTTTTCTATCTTCGTAGTTGATTTACCCTTCACATAAGTTTCATACCCCTTTGTAGGAGCTTTCAAAATTTTTCCTAGGGTTTCTACATCAAACTCAATTTTTATTGCATTCACTTCACTTGAAATAACCCCTTGCTTCACTTCAAAATTTTGACAGAATTCAGTCATAGCAACAGGATGTATGCAATTATTTGAACCCCTAGATAGCAAAAACTCCCACCCCTTGAACTTCATCAAATCCAAAAATTCCAGAAACCTAGCTTTTCTACACCAAGATAAATCAATTCTATGGCCAACTACATACCTTCCAGCTTGAGTCTCAAGCTTTGATAGATCAGCCGTAAAATCTTCCTCTATTGGATCGTCTTCCCCCTCTGATTCTGCAGTTCCATCCACAAAATCCTCGACCTCCTAGATATGTTCCTCCACTGACTTCTCTTTGTTTCTCTTTTCTTTCCACTCCTTAAATCTTCAAAGATGTTAGAGATTTCCACTTCCTTGTCTGATGGGTTCTTCTCTTTAGGGTTTTTGTTTGAACTGGATGAGGTTGGTGCAGTTTCGGTTCGAGTTTTTTCTTATTCCTTGTAGGAAACTATGGTTAAAGGGGATACAATTCTGGGTTCTGATTTTGGCTCGTTTTGGGAATTTTCAGAGGAGCTTAGGGAAGAGATGATTTCCATGGGTTCAAATTTTTGGAATATTTGAGAAGTTTTGAGAGATATTTTCACAGAGGTTAAATATAATTTGACAGTGATGATGTAAGGTGGGTGAAAGATGCCTTTACCTGTGAAATAAATGGAAAGTTTAGTGTCGTTTGGTCATTAATTGAACAAGTTCAATTTATTTTGAAATTTAAATAGGATTTTTAATCAAATTCTTTCTGAAATTCGTTTTCTTTCCACATTCAATTTATTTTCAAAAATGCATAATTTTCAAAAAGAAAATACGTATTTGGAACACGCTTTACACTCATATGCAATGTACATTACTAATTACCCAAATATTAGAGTGTTTGTGAAATAACCTTTAGGAATTCACCAACGGTGACACTTCAGCTATGTTTAGCACACCATAATTGTGCTAAATGCTCTTTTTGCTCTGTTTACACTATTTTTTATTTTTCCATATCTTGGAACTTCAGGTGCAATCAAGTCAGCTTGATCATCCCAAGTTCCAATCTCAATTTCTCAAACCTTTCTCTGTTCAAGGGCTTGGTTAGAATATTTGCAATTTAATTTTCAGTTTGACAAAATTCTAACTTTATATTCCCTTGCTCCACATTATCTTTTAGAAAGTGATGCCTAATGTGGATGTGTTTTACCTTTAAGTGTTGAACTGGATCCTTATAAATACATATAGCACTGGTATTATCACAGTAAATAGGAACACATTAAAAAATAATTCCAAAATCTGTTACCAGTTGCTTTATCCATAACATTTGTGAGCAACATGTTGTCGCTGCTGTATACTCTGCTTCAGATGTAGATAATGAAACTGTGTTTTGCTTCTTGGAAGCCCAAGAAACTAAACAAGGTCCTAAAAACTGTACCATACCTAAAGTATGTCTTCTATTAATTAAAATCACCTGCATAGTCAGCATCAGTAAAGCCATTTAAATCAAATGAATCACTTCTAGGATAGAAGAGGCTCAAGTCATCAGTTCCTTTCAAATATCGAAGGATTCTCTTTACAGCTATCAAGTGGGACTCCTTTGGATTTGCTTGGAACCTGGCACATAGACCTACACTTAAAGATATTTCAAGTCTACTAGATGTTAATTAAAGTAGAGAACCAATCATACCTCGATACATAGTTTGATCTATGAAAGTTCCAGATAGATCTTCATCCAATCTAGTGGCAACACCCATAGGAATTCTGTTGGTTTTTACATTGTCCTGCTTGTATTTCTTGATCAGTTCCTTGATATATTTTTGTTGATGGATCATGATTCCTTATTCAGTTTTCTTGATTTGCAAACCGAGAAAAAAGTTTAATTCCACTCATTAGGTCATCAAAGTACTTGCACAAAGATTCATTAGTTGCACCAAATAAAATATCATCAACATAAATCTATACAACGAAGATATCATTTCCATTTGACTTTAAAAACAAATTTTTATCAATTTTTTCCACATTTAAAACCATTTTTCAAATGAAACTTAGATAATATTTCATACCATGCTCTAGGAGCTTGCTTTAACTCATAAAGAGATTTGTCAAGCTTATAGACATGGTTTTGGAACTCTGGATTTTCAAAACAAGGAGGTTGTTTCACATAGACTTCTTCTTTAAGAAAACCATTTAGAAAAGCACATTTAACATCCATGTGGTACAACCTAAATCCCATATTAGAAGCAAACTTTTCTTTACATTCAATCTCTTCTTGTTGATTGAAACC